CAAGAGAGTAACAAACATAAAAAAGAAGGAGGGGAGATAAGGACGACAGATGTTTTAAGGAAAGAATGAGCAAACCACACCAGAGCACCCGCCAACCACCCACGAAAAAGAAATAAACCCAGCCCCATAGAAGACAGATAATATACAAACTGTACATTGCTCTAACGCAAAGCCATGATATGGCGCAAAATTCAGATCAAAACCATTATGTTGAAACATACAGTCCATCAAGAAGTCACTTCGACAAACAATATCGCCACCCGGGCAAAATTCAAAATTTCCTACCAACTGAAAATATTAGGTGTGTCCCGCGCGCTCATATGACCTTATGCAGTTGCGAGCGCCGTAATACATTTTACAAAAAAACACACACACAAAAAACAATATCGTTGTGTCAGGTTTTTTCCTATTGATTATGAAAATCTGAAGGAAAAAAAACAACAACCCCTTCAAAACGCCTCAATGATTCGTTTCCAAGACTAATTCTGAAAAACCCAGAAGCTCGCCCGTTCTTGTAGAAGAAAGAAAATACCATTCGGACCCAGGCCAGATTCGAACTTCGAAATTCCCAATGGCAGATCAAATTCACAACTAACAACGCCACAGCCGCCGGGCATTTTTATGTCCTCTTCAGGACAAAAAAAACAACCCGGATATTACTTAGTTATTGATAACCAGACCAACCGTTGTTTTCTTTATCTCTAATGCGTGTCTGGTCTTTTGTCACAATGTCGGTCACAAGGAATCTGGACTATAACAGCAGACGGGGATTTCACGAGCGCCCGAAGACCCGAAAGTGGGTCAAGGAGCTGTGTGGATCGATACCCCAATTTGTATCCACTGAGCTGTAGACCGCTTTCAGCAAACATTTCGTTAAATCGAACATCTGAAGCTAAAACCAACAAAACAAACCTCATTAACGACGCGAGAAACGAGGTGCGGGGGCACTTACAAAGGACACACACACACATACAGCGAGGAGCGGATGCAGGCGATGCGATTTCGTCGAAGTCGAACGGTTCAACCTGCTTATCGTGACAGTATTCTGAATCAAAACGCACTGAGGACTGCTACTCTATCATGGATTTTTACACCGAGTGATGTGACAGTACAATGGAGACTCCATTAGAGACGCTAATAGCCGATGTTCACTGAAGTCCTATGGACAGAAGAGTAGACCCAACAAGGACCCAAGAGAGAAAGAGAGAGAGAGGGGTGGTGGAGGGAGAGAGAGAAAGAGAGAGAGAGAGAGAGAGAGAGAGAGA